GATGAGCTTTATTGCATCCAAGTAAACCTTTTTAAATGCACCCGTCAAAAACTCTCTGCCTATTCTTTGAAAGCTGAAGGGCTGCTACAAATGCTACAGCATACTTTTAACTGAACTTGACATTAGTACATAAATAAATATTAGTAGTTTTTAATACAGTAGATTTTGATGTATTGTTATGTAGCATCTTATAGTCATAAAAAAGACAACATTAATTTGTTGTGTAATACTATAATTGTTGTATTAATACAGCAATTACTACAACAGATAGCAAGTACTGGTTCAAAAAATATTTACCATAAATTACTATAGTATTTTAATCAAACTGTAGGTTTATTGTAATCATGCTCTTTTGAAAGTGCAATTTATTTATATATATAAACAGGAAAAATGTCCACATATGCAATCAAAACTATTTTATTTATTGCCTTGAGTTAGGAGTGAGCAATGAAATAAACTTCCATGTAATACATTGATTCATTGATCAACTATTAATGTAATTCAGTCATTAATCTATAAATGTATTAATTTTGCTTCTATGGGTTCACGCCAGATGTGGTACGCTGGACGGTTTTTGGGAAAACTTTTGCAACAAACGGCATTCCCAGTAGTAGCTAGAAGAGATACAGCTGGTGCTGGATGTTAACTAGAATTAATTGATATTATTTATTAAATTATCCATTCATTGTATTTTATTAACGTCTACCCCAACCCTCACAGTGATGTAAACATATTAATTATTGTTGTACAGTGTCAAAAATTATGCTATCTTGATGTGTGTATTTATCCATATTGATGTGAGCTGTATGCCATCTAGGCTTTACCTGCTTTCCCACACTTTCACCAGCAGAGGTCCTGGTCGAGCTCTATTTTTTATCCAGCAAAACACTATTTACATACATTTTAAACTGGTATTGATATAATGTGTACTTTTTGCAATGTTTTGCATTTATTTTAGTATTGTACATACTCCGCTAGATTACGGTGTGAGGTTCAAAAATTTATTAATGATATTATTCATTGTTTAAAACCTATATTATTGTTTTACTGACTATCCTAACCAAGAGGACACATGTTTTTATTGAATTAACTTGATTATTATAACATCATGAATGTAAATTCACTAATAAGAAACTTAAATGTATGGTTTTGTTGACTAAAATGTTATATATTACCGATTACGTTATCAGAGACGTTCTAAACATAAAAGCCCTACGCACTTTAAACAATTTGTAATCTTTATGTATTTAATTTTTATATTTGTACAGTTTAATGTTTATATTTTGTTTATACTTACCTCCCCCTAGCATCTATACGTTTTTGTCTGTTAAATGGTAAATATGCTATTGTCCTTTAAAAATAAATAGATAGATAGATAGATAGATAGATAGATAGATAGATAGATAGATAGATAGATAGATAGATAGTTGAACCTCTTCCGATTTGCCCACTGGATTTATTTTATTCATTTGTTTATTTTATTTTATTATTATTATTATTATTATTATTATTATTTTATTTATTTATTTATTTATTGAATGCGTAAAAAACATTAACAACAAATGTCATAATTAAACATCAACAATCCAGGGGTTTTCAGTCATTTAGTCCAAGACAAGTGTCAAGTCCTTCATCAAAGTCCTGGTTCGTATTGCTTTTGGGTTTGTTGATCCCTCAAAAGCCTCAAAATACATTTTCATTTCAATTTTAAATTTAGGGGGAAAAAAGGTTTGCACTTACAAACCTTGCTTTTGTGAATATGAAATTTGTAAAAAAAAAAAAATTGAAAAATTTTTGAAAATTTTTTGGTACAGGCTGTAACATTTCACCCCTACAGATCTTACCAGTAAATTCTACAGTAAAAAAAAGTTTTACTGTAGGGCTATTTTATTCATCTTAAAGGAACACTCCACTTTGTTAGAAAATAGACTTTTAGAGTTAAACGGTTAGCAGTTTTATTACCTATGTGTCCATTCAGCCAATCTCCAGGTCTGGTGGAGCACTTTCAGCTTAGCTTAGTATCAGAGTTGGGTGTAACTCGTTCCACAGTAACACGTTACTGTAATCAAAATACATTTTTGAAAAACACAGTAGTGTAACGAATTCCCTTTTATATGTATGTAATTTGATTACAGTTACTAAAGTCAATGTAATTGTGTTACTTACATTACATATATATAATATTTAGAAGAAAAAAGCTTATTTTAAATCATGTTTTCAACTGCAGCATCAGTTAATAAGCATGTGCTTTTAAATTCCTGGAGAACGGCAGCTGAAATAGCTGCTGTCGAGAGCGGCTACTTCAAGTGGAAATACATCACTTTGATATCATTAAGCATAAAAACAAAAATATTGTTGTGAAATTCAGCCTATGTGCAGTTTCTAAAGAACTTTCGACTGCTTTTAACTCGACTAGTAACTTAACAGAAAGCATTCTAAAACAATACTCGTCACCAAGGAGGACACTGGCACCCAGAAACACATCGGCCCAACTCAGCCGAAACAGGCTAAATTGGATATTTGTGCAGGATCGGGAGTGAAGGTATCTTCTCTGTGTGAATAGAAGCGTAGCTGCTTATGGGGCCGTTCACATATCCTGTGTATATTGTGCTGCTTTTATTTCCCAGACACACAAACTGACCCATCAGCTTCATACTTTGTAAGGAATATACACTTTGGTAGACTAATTACCTTAGACAAACACAGAACACTGCAGTGCTATTTCATACTATGGATGTCAGTGAAAAAAAAGACAAATTGGTTTGGAACAAGTGAATGATGAACCATCTCTTTAGCTATTTTGAATATGTCAAGCTTCTATGATCAACCCATTGTAATATTAAATTACTGAAAGAGCTGCAGTATATTTAGTATTTTTATAGGTATATTTTCTATGTTTTAAAAGTAACTTCAGAGTAAAGTAATTAGTAATCTGATTACTTTTTACATGAAGTAATTAGTAATGTAATCAAATTCCAATTTTCCAGTAGTAATCAGTCATTTGTAATCGAACTTCCCCAACACTGCTTAGCATAGACTATTGAATCGGATTAGACCATTAGCATCTCGCTCAAAAATCAAAACTGTTCTGTGGTTGCATTGTTTTCTAAGACCAAATAGAAATGAAAAGGTGCTATTTTCTAGGTTGATATCGGAACAACTATATTCTCATTAAATAATCAAGGATCTTTGCTTTTGTACCATGACTGTAGCAGGCACAATTATATTATGCAGTGCCTGAAAATAGTCCCCAGCTGGGTAACTTCCAACGTGACCACGTGCTTGCACAGGGAACGTGTGCCAGTCGCACTGCGCAATATCATTGCACCTGCTGCAGCCATGGTGCTATACTATACGGGTACTATTATAGTACCTAGCCATAGTGGCCTAGAAAATAGCAAATTTTCATTTTCTGCTGGTCAGTCGTAGTACATGATGTAACTATAGAAGTGTCAGGCTTTAAATGGAAAAAAATTACATATAATAAATTTATTCACAATTTCTGTGAATGTTTTAGAATTTTTGATTAATTTGCATATGGCTGAATGATTATGAATAAATCAGTAAGTCAGTCCTGCAGGATTTTGCAGTGACACTTTTTTAAAAATATATTTGTGGCCTGAATTGTTTTTTTTTTTTTATTTGAGCGAGATGCTAATTTTCCAATTTTATTTAATGATCTACGCTAAGCTAAAAGTGCTCCCACCACACCCAGAGATCAGCTGAATGGATTCTGTTAGGATTAAGCATTTTACAACTCTATTTTCAAAAAAGTGGAGTGTTGTTTTTAACTCCAACTTAATAAATGTTTTCATTTAACACTGACTCTTCTGTTTGTTAATTGATAGACAAATGTTGTGACGATGCTGTGACTATTAAAAGGAATACATGCATTTTAAGTGTAAATTATGACATGTTTATAGCTCTGATACAGTCAGGAAATGCAAATGTTTATTTTAAAATCACATTTGTGTAATCTGTGACAATAGGTTTTTCAGTATTATTAACTATTTCAAATCTCATATAAACGTCTAAAAGGAAAAGGGAAACCTCAAAAGAAAACGATGGTTTGTTGTGAAGCAAAGCTTGGACAAGACCTTCCAAGTCACTTCTAGAGTGAGTTTTGTTTCGGTGCATCAGCTGAAGTTGTATGCACTATTTTTTTTGAAGAGGCCAAAAGTTTAGCTAAAATTAATAGCACATTCGTAAAGTCTTGGTGATAAAGAATTATAAAGCTTATAATTATTTGATGTTCACTAGAAATATTTCAATTTCTGTCAAGTCATCTATTTGTGGAGTATTTTTATAGGTTGCACAAGTAATACTTTAGTCTACTTGTACTATGGATAGTACAATAGAGATGGACTATATATTGTTTCAACATTGTGCGTATGGCAATATTCAGAAATCAGAATTCATTAGCTTTGTGGTCACTGCAGGGTTTAACCATAACAGAATGAAAGAGAATAATTTTGATGTGTAAGGCTTATGACGAGGCCCTTACGGAATCAGCATACACAGAAATTTGTAGATTTCCTCAGATTTTTAGCTCATCTATGAGTCTATTTATTTACGTGTTTAAATGTGTGTAAATTTTAGATTTATACAGTTTTTAAATTAATTTCAGTAATAATACTAACTACAAAAACACTCATATGATTTACCTACAATACAGTTTGTAAAGTCACATTCTCTGTCTTTTAGTATGAGAGACTTGCTTTATCAAATAAGTGGATCTAATTGGATTTGCAATGTAAACAGTAAATAAAAGTTTAAAAGCTTTATTTATATATATATATATATATATATATATATATATATATATATATATATATATATATATATATATATATATATATATATATATATATATTAGGGTTTTAGTTACGATATTCCTAAAATCATTCCACATAAATCTACAGATTTTTTACAAATGTTTGTGCAGAAATATCAATAAATGTATGCAGATTCTGCCAGGCCCAACACATGAATGAACATTTCAAGAGAATTTAAAACATGCAGGCACAATAAATTGTACAATTTTTTACTTTTAATAGCGATTAATTTTATTGAATAATTTATACTATGCAGTGTTGTTTTTCATTTCATCATTCAATTTCTGTAATGTTTGACTTGCAGTAAACAATAAAGCACTGACTATTACACTTTTATCTTTGCTATACTATATACATATGTGCTAATTTGTGTATTACATTTGATCCATGATTCTCACCCCTACAAAATCACCCCAAACCATCTAAATTAATGAAATCCATGCAAACACAGCTTTTTAAACCATCTGGATCAATGATATCGCAATATATATCTGAGAAAAACTGCAATATTGTGCAGCCCTGCCTAGGGTACCGACTGTGGGAACTCAGATTAATCAACAGCCCACAAATAAAACATTTAAGCCACAAAGGTTTTTATTTTTAGATGTATTTTTGTATATCATATTTATAATATCATTTATTTTCAAAACGATCATTTGCAGAATCACTGATCAAATGCCACTGTCTCACAGTCAGTCTTCTCCTTTTATCTGTCTAGCTCATTGCGTCTCAGTGGAGATCTGCAGTAGAGGAGTGCTGATCTCGCTGGACTGGTATGTGCTGGTGACTCTGAGCAGGCAGCTGAGCAGCATGTCTTTTGCCCTTGCCGTCTCCATGTTCTGCTCTCGGCTCAGCTGGAGGGTCATCTGGTCCAGGCTGGTCTGCAGAAGCTCAGAGGCCATGACGGGCCTGCTAACAGCCGGTCCCTCAGTCAGGTACTGTCTGTACAGCTCCAGAAGCTTCTGCTCAAGATAGCCGTTAAGTTGAGAGTTGGAGAGCGGCCGGCTGAACTGCAGGAGAGAGGGACGCTCACGCCCGCTTTCTTCCTTCCATCGCCTCGAGCTCCTGAACTCGTGGACCAGAGGAGGTAAGAGGGAGGGTGAGGGAACATCTTCAGACACAAGAAAGGGTCCAGGCTGGGGATCCTGGCTGTGATGGCCCTGTATGTCTCCTGCATGGGGGCTGAGCGGCAACACCTGACCGCCTGCTATGTGTAAATCGCTGTAATGCTGGCAAATGCTGTGGCAGCTCGAAGGCACCAAAAATGCTTCTGTTTCAGGGGTGTCCACATGCCTGGGGATATCCACACCATGTCCTGCCATAGAGGAAGGGTGAGGGTAGCTCTGGGTTTTCATCTGGGTTATATTAGCATGGACCTCTGGAGCTGAGTGGACGGGGATTTGAGCTGAGAGGGGATTATTTGGTGAAGTTGAGGAAGGCTCTGTGACTGTGGTGCATGAAGGAGGATTTACACACTCGGCTTCAGCTTCAAAAGCCAGACTCCAGAGCTTTCCTTCACACAGCATCTAGAGTGCACAGACACTGAAGTTATATCAGGTCGCAATAAAATATTGGTTCTCAGTCTTTTTGACTCCACTATATGCACTTACTGACTTAGTGGGCAATCACCTTATTTTTCAAAGGGGAAGTAAGCTTTTCTGTGACTGTTTAAGGACTTCTGATTAATTTGCATACGGCTGAATGATTAGGAATAAATAAATCAGTAAGTAAGTGACTCCTGGATTTGGCAGGGACACTTTTTTAATTATATTTGTGGCCTGAAGGGCTCTTTTTATGATGGCTTTTCTTAAAATGGCATTTTATGGGATTATTTTCTTCAATTCTTTTGTTTTTCTTTGAAAATACACAAAAATAATCATTGGATTTACAAAATCCTGAAGAGACTGGTGAATTAAACCACTTCTACAAACCAGTGTGTATAACAATGCATTTTAAAATAAAAATAATATATTAAGAAACTAGCAGTGTGCAATGAGCTGTTTTTACAGCTAAAAGGAAGCGATTGAGAAAAGAAATCTCAACACAATTAGGTTACAATGACCGTGCCAGTTCTTGTCAGGAAAAAATGTCAATAGTGGAGGAGAATAAGTCAAAAAGCACTTTTAGCGGATAAAGTGGAGTCAGAATGGTCAAGAACAATGTTTTTAATGTATACTGGAGCCAGAAATGTTAAGAATCACTGTTTAGAACCACATCTAGAACAGAGGAGCCCAAACCCGGCCCTGGACGGCTGGTGTCCTGCTTTTTTTAGTTCCAACCTCAATTAAACATGCCTGAACCTGCTAATCAAGCTCTTTCTAGGCAAACTAGAAACTTCCAGGCAGGTGTCTTGAAGAAAGTTGGAGTTAAACTATGCAGGACAGCAGTTCTCCAGGACCGAGTTTCTGCACACCTGATTTAGAACCACTATTTTGATGGACATAGTGGAGCCAAACAGATCAAGAACCCTAAATTAATTGACACTGGGGTCAGAAAAGGCAAGAGCCACTGTTTTGAAGCACACAGTCTCTGCATGTCAGCTAAATCAGTGGTTCTGGATTTATTTGACTCCACTATGTACACTAAAACAGTGTTTCTCAACATGATTGATTCTAACCTATTCACTAAAGCAGTAGTTTAACTTAATCAAGTTCGAAAGTTTTCATTGATATAGCATTTATTAACATTCAAAGAAATGAGTTGTAGTTAATTAAATATTTTAAACCTTTAATTAAATTTAAATAATTATTTAATTACCACAATTCAAGTTTGTGATTGTAATTATTGCTATATATTCACTAAGTATTTAAAGCAGTCCCACTTAGTGAGCCTGACCCCGCTGGTTGAGATGCAACAGTGTTTAGTTTCAAAATGTAGATTAAATAGAAAAGTAATTATAAATTGAGGCACTATTTCATAACATTTCTGTGAGAGTACATTTATTAACCATTTGTTTTATTACTTAGTTCACCTGGCAAACCCATGGTTTTTTGCTCAAAGGTTAAGACCCTATTCAATGTTTAAACTACTTAATTCCTCTCACAGTAAAACATTTTACTGGACTGTCCTGCTTTTATTGATTCCAGAAGACTTTTTTATGAAATTAATTGTCTTAAGAACGATTATTGCAAAGTGGCACAAGGAAAATTTGTAGAATCATGTATTAGTACTAAAAATCATTCATTTGTTTTCTTGCCATGAAAATAGCCTTGGTTGCTGACATGGCATTAAATAAAAAATACATTGCATTGCATTACATTACATTACTGTCCACCTGGCACAAAATAAAGTGAGTATATGAGACTTTTGCATCATCATCATTTTCCACAGTTTACTATGAAACAAACAAATAAGATTTTCAGATATTCCAGGTCTGCCACATTAACTATAACCCCCTAGATTACGCTTGACTGACAGAGAGACATATAAAAGTACCCTGAAATTTACCGTTTTCCTACAGGAGTCTCTGGATGTTGATCAGAGGTGTTTCGGGGTCTGGTTTTCTCTCTCTCAGTGCTTGCAGTGAAACTTGTGCTATCGATCCTCACTTTTATGCTTTACTCAAGGAGGAAGTGAAACCGAGTTAGATTCTGTCTTCCATGTAAATTCAGAAACACAATTATATTCAGCTGCATTAATATGTGCCCCATATTCATTACAATAGGCATAAATGAGTCATTGAGTTCACCTTAAATTTTAGTTTGCTATTATAGTCATAGTTTTCTATTGGTACTGTATTCCTAAACACAAGCATATGACACTAATTATGGTGATTTCCCCCTGGGTTTCCTCTTTCTGTAATGTCACTGATGGAGAGAATATTCACTTGAAATCAAGAGTCTGAAACAGATATACTATATTGTAAAGCAGTGGTTCCTAAAGTGGGGGTCAGGGGACAATGATTTCCAAAAATCTAAACTATTCAAATTACCATGTTTTATCCACAACCTACAGGAAAAATTGTAGATAATAGTAACATTGTTAACAATAAACATAAAAAAATAACATGCAAATAAAAAGCCATGTGACTGCTTGGGTGTTTCAGTTATACACAGTAATAGCGTCAGATGCAGCACATTGATTTGATGGCACCAGGTTAAACTTTCTGACACCTCTACGACACTCACATAGATTAAAAATAAATACAGGCCACAACTGAACATGAAGGATGGTCTCCAAATGGCGTTCTCCAAAATTAAATAATGAATAGACTTGGGCTTATGGTATGTGTGTGCCGTTGTGTGCAAGAATTATATATTAATAATCACCTCAGAGGATATTGGCAGTCACAAGTCACAGGCATTGTTGTTTTGGGGGTTGTGGGCTAAAAAGTTTGGGAACCCCTGTTCTAGAGTACTAATGCTATGCTAAAAGGACTGTATTTATTATTATTGTTATTATTATCTTTTTTCTTAAGCTCTCTCATGCTACATTGTGCAGCTGTTATATTTTGCAGTTTCATTAGACTGAAAAAGGTAGCATATTTCCTCAAACATCGACATTTGCAGCTGCAGCTGTTCAAATCATTACGTAACAGTGAGTCTTCATTTCCCCTTTGAAAATAAAGCATCAAATTCGAATGTAATTGAATCCACTGGTAGACATGTAGGTTGAACACACTTCATAGTTGTTAGTGCTGGTTAATCGCTAGTAGGTCGGTGACTAAATGCTGAATCACCTACGTGCATTATTAATCAGTGGCGCCCCCAGAAAATTTTCTTAGGGGTGGCCAGAAGAGGCCGCACCAAATCTTGGGGTGGCACACAAAAAAAAAATGAATTCAGTGTAATGTTATATTTTTGTTTCTGGTAAATTAAATAATGTAGTTTTATTCATTTAATTAATTCTACTTGAAATATTGCAATTTATTCTTTGAAATAATTCAGCAAGTACATGTGCAAACCAAATAAAAATCTATGTTTAGTTTAAAAACACTTTTCATATACATGTATAAATGACTTCTTTTTTACGTGCCTTTATTGTACATCATACGAGATATGCCATGTCTAAAATTAATGAAGATTAATGAGTTTATTATTCCCAGTGATGGGTTGCAGCTGGAAGGGCATCCGCTGTGTAAAAATGTGCTAGATAAGTTGGCGGTTCATTCTGCTGTGGTGACCCTGGATTAATAAAGGGACTAAGCTGAAAAGAAAATGAATGAAAGAATAATGAGTTTATTAATTACCCAAACAAATGAACAAACTGAACAAAAGGCATTACTATACACACTCACTATACCTAATAATATTATTTATCCATATTGCTTTTTGAACCATTTTATTAATGCAGCTTCTTCTATTGATATACTGTAGCTTAAGGTAAATATTAAATAGCCATTGCTGTCTATTGAAGGTGTGTGTGTGCTGTCAAGGACGATCGTGAAGGGTAGTGGCGGTTCTAGTTTAAATGACACCCTGGGCGAGCCACCCTATACACCCCACCTCTCTTGAATTGTTAGATTTGTTATTCAATAAATATAACAATTTATTTATATTTATTCTAAATAAATACAATTAATATTAATGTACAATTATTATTCTAAATAAATAACAGAAATCAGTCCTAAATATTACTGGAAAACAACAACTGGAGTGATATGCCAACATCACTTAAGAAACCTTTTGCATGAAAATTAATTATGACAATTCTAAAGAATACAAAAAATGTATTATAAAATATCTGTGGTCTTAGACCAGATCATGGCTGAGAAATCATGTTATGAAGACTTACCTCCCTGACTCATTATCCCTCCTTTCTGCTTTAAAGGCATGCTTAGTGAAAGTAACATCATCATCATCATCATCATCATCATATTATATAAACTTTAAACGACTTTCAAAACTCGCTGTGTGCCGACAATTCTGCACAAAAGGCTGTTACTCCTATTTCACAGCGCATGAGCGGTGCCTATTTTGTCGGCGTGCATGCAAACAACCAACCGGGATTCACACAGGAGTGCGTGAGGCGCGCGGGAATGGTTTTCCGCGCGCATGCGTCAGTTTGCTTTCACCAGCATTGAACCAGAGGGGGAGAGCTACGTCAGTAACACCAACAATAATTTAGTGACTGCATTTTATTTATGTATTTATTTATTTATCTAAATATTGGGAATTTATAAGTTCATTTAAATCAATAATGTCAACCGCAAAATTATATTGGGGTGGCCACAGGGGTGGCCAGAGTTTACCGAGGGGTGGCCGTGGCCACCCCTGGCCACCCCTTGGAGGCGCCCCTGTTATTAATGTGATGATCTGACTTACGAGTAAAATTATTATTTGTTGAACTACTAAACAAGCAGAAAAAAAGGAATAACTAAACACATTTTCTAGTTTTGTTTAGCTTTGTATGCATCAAACATTTCACTGTATGCATTTATCTAGATATGCAGATGAAAAACGATATATTGTATTTATTTATAGATTAATTTCTGTATATTTTTATTATGAATAGTACAGTCCTTTTTTTTGGTTGTATTAAAAAACTGGTTTTATTTGTGGTTCTTTTATGATGCAATCTAAGGGTTTTTGAGTCTTTTATTTATTTATTTTTTGTTTGTTTATAGTAGCAATATATACAGATTTCACTTAAGATATTGTACATATCCCATTACTAAACTTTTTTTTTTTTTTTACAAACAAGACAATAAAAAAATAATAATAATAAATATGAAAACAGTAACTACAAAATGATAACATAAATAATATCAATGACTAAATATACATGGGTCAGAGAGGGTCAAATCTTTATTTATTTCCTCAACTTTAGTTATTATAAAATGTTAATTCCTAATTTAAAGAGAGGGTTAAGAGGGGGAGTGGAATTGAGAAAAAATTGTTCTGTGGATGGGAATTAGATAGTAATATTTTACTGTATAATATTTTTTTATAGTAATGTTTTGTAATATTTCTACAAAGATTGAATGGGGTAATGTAATGTATTCAGTCAACTTAGACCAGATATTTCTAAATGCATTAATTTGAAGTCAAAGGGTGAATGTAATTTTTCATTACATAAATATAATATACTATTTCTGGCTTGTCTTGGATTTTTGGTGAATCAGTGTCTTGTAATTGCTTTTTTGGCTGCAATTATTAAAATATTAAAAAGTATTTTTCATATTTACTTATTTGGATATCAGAGCTTCCAAAATAAATAACCATGAATGAAAGGGTAGTGTAATATTAAGTATGATTTCTATTACTCCATGTACTTCCTAAAACTGTTTTATTACTGAACATTCCCAAAAAAAAAAAATGTGCCAGTGATTAGGTTCCTGAGACCCACATTGTCTCCAGCACTTAGTGTCCTTTCCTGTGACTTATGCTTTGATTTTGTGAGATGAAAAATCTTATTAGACATTTCCATCCAAGTTCTCTCCACATATGTGAGATGGTACATTTTGATGTAAATCTACATATGTCCAACCATTCTTCCTTCAAAATAATAAAATTACTTTTCCCATTTTTCTTTAACATAAATGTTTTAAGTCTTTTAACATCAAATACTGTAAGAACATTACAAATATTGAAGATTATAATTAGGTGTAAAATAATGTTTAAAAACAATTTGTGGGTTGCTTTATATTAAAAAGAAATGTTCTCCTAATATTGTTAATTTGTTAAATTTTACCTACTTAAAACTTTAGTTTGTAAGCTTTATGTCAAATTTTATGTGCATCTGTTTATTTTGCACAAATACAGGATATTTAGTTAGAAAAATAGTTTTTTATTTAGACATACTTTTATAGGTTGCTTTCCACAAAACCCTCTGTGCTCTGTTATATGGCCACTTATTTTATTTCAAGTAGCTTACTCAAGTTTAACATTTTATTTTTTATTAATTTATCATTTTCTAATACATGCTGCTCAGCTGCCTGAGTCACCAGCACATACCAGTCCAGCGAGATCAGCACTCCTCTACTGCAGATCTCCACTGAGGCTCAATGAGCTAGACAGATAAAAGGAGAAGACTGACTGTGAGACAGTGGCATTTGATCAGTGATTCTGCAAATGATCGTTTTGAAAATAAATTATATTATAAATATGATATACAAAAATACATCTAAAAATAAAAATCTTTGTGGCTGAAATGTTTTATTTGTGTGCTGTTGATTTATCCAAAAAAAAAGACACAAACACGTAGCCTATAGACCATATCACTGCTGTCATGTCATTGGCCCATGAACATCTCCTGAATCAGGCAATTCAATGTCAAAACAGCTATCATAATTTTATTTATCAATATGTGTCTCTTTTTTGATTCTGGGAAGCTATAGAGATTTTAAATGTAAAACAGGAAATACGTTGGGACCATTGTTTTTGTTTGGGTCCCTCAAAATGGTGTAGGTTTTAAAAACCGCTAGTTTAATGTAAAGGATAAAACTTGAATCCTTTTTATGTTCTATAGCTCAATAACCCAAGTCTTTCTGTTGTGCTGAAAAAGAAAACAAGTCGGCTACTTTTAGATATAGGCTACCGTAAATTTAACCATAATCCACATAGCGTCCAGAAATTATGCGTATACATAAACATTCTAAGAAAACCATCTTCGTGCATGCAACCCTAATGTTATGCAACAGCGATGACCAGCACATGTGTGTAGTCTAATATGTCTAAGTTTGGTCAATAATTAATTTGTTAGTGTAGAGTTGCAAGCGCACAGTTGCCATGGCCGCGTTTCAAACCTACAATGACTGCTTCCATACGGATAAGAAACAGGCATCCGACTGTCTGTGAAATGTAAAATAGCGAGTTTGAGTTCAGCACCATGGACAAGAATTCTGTTTCCTAAAGAAGATATGAAGTAAGTTTTTCACGGGGAGGAGAGTGAAGAGGGACATGGAAAAAAGAAAACAATCTGATCGTCTTATAAGAACAAGGTATTTATATAGGCTAGATTTATTATAAAACAAGCTGGCAAGTCACAATTTGATGAGCACGATGCTAGCACCCTCTTGGGCTTTGAACCAACATCCCTTCGGTTTTCATCCCAGCTATTTAACAACTAAATTGCGCCAACCAGGCACCCAGCGTGATGTTTAAGAAAATCAACGCCGTTTTTCGGCCGAACCATCCTGCGCCTCGCTCTCGGGACAGGTTCAGGTCCACTGAGGACTATCACAGCGCGTGCACCGTGAAGTTGGTCCGGAGCACGTCGATGCTCGTGGTCGGGGAGAGCAGTCGCGCGCTGCGGGACTCGACGCTGAAGCGGAGCGTGAGCGCCGTGAGTGTGGAGTCCAGCACCGCCCTCTACTATTACCAGAGCCGAGAGGACCGAGTGTGGCTCTACTCCCAGAACCAGGACTGTCTAGAATACTTACAGGAGCTGGTGGCGCTCAGGCGTCAGTACACCAAGAGCATTAATGACCTCAAGGACGGGGAGCGTAAAGAAACCGCGTCCCGCAAGAAGAATGCAGCGCCGCGGCCACCGCAGAGCAGCGCACCACAGGTGAGACTACCGCTGTGGGCAACAAGCATTTTTGTCTTCATCAAATTAGACTTTTACAATTTCTATCGTATTTGTTTAGTTGTTTTATTTTACACACATGGACAATATTTTAGATACAGGAGTCTGTTTTAAATAACTTTTGTGGGAAAAGTCAAAATACAGGTAAAATGTGTGGTCATTCAGCGTCGTTTTGAGACAGATAGCCTATTTACTGATTATTATTTGAAGCCTAAAAATAATTAAGGACTTATGTCTAAAATGAAAAATGAAAGCATCTTGTTGATAGTGGACAATATGATTGTGGTTTGTCTTTTTGGCTCTGTCTAAAATTATAAATGAAAGCTGATAATGGGTAATATCACCGTGCTTTAAAGAATATGAAATTTAGTTTAGTATTTTAAAGCTACACTGGGATGCAAAAAAAAAAAAATTTGTTTTTTAATATGCCTGACAATATTTGTTTTTTATATATAAACTTGTTACACTCAATTTCACTTGCTATAAGGTACATTAATGTATGTATAGATGCATTGTAACAGGCACATTATAATATAATGTATATGTTATTGAATTATTGTAATGTGTCTATTTATTTGGTTGCATATATTCACAATCCTGTAAAAAAAAAAAAAAAGTTATTTTGAGGAAATTTATTTTTTATTTTTTTAGAGAAAAAAATTCTGTACAGAAGGACTGAAAAAAATATTAGCTTTTAAATTACCTAAACTTTGTGGCTGCTTTCTTCTAAAACTGGATTGTGTGAAGAAACTATTAATTTTAAGGATTTACAATAGTTTTTGGAGCTTCATTAGTTCTAGAAATAACAAAAATCTTGACAGAACCAAGTAAACTGGCAATAAATATAATGAACTGTATTTCAGACTTCACGGCCTGTACCTTCTGCTCCACCAATGCCAAATGAAGAAGACACGCTCCAGTTCTTTGATGAAGTGATCGCAAGCTGTGACCCGGAGCCCAGCAGAAAACCACATGTGGACAACGGCCATGCAGACGTCGACTTTATAGGTGATAGTAGAGCTTATTACATTCTCACTATGATTGCATTCAAATCCTATACTCGTGAACACTAAAGAACATGAGCTTGCAGAGTGTTTCACCTTACCGGAAACATGTTGGTCAACTAGAAATGTCAACTTTTGTTTGTTCCATTCATTGTTCATCCATCAGTCTGATCCTACATCTACATTTGAACATTTCTTTAGTGGCAACCAGTACCAGTGAGCATGATCTTCACTCCAACTGGGTGCTTCGGGACCCTCGTCGAATCTCCATGTTGGAGTCGCAGCCCAAGAAAATAAATATCAGTCATGGGAAGGCAGCCCAGCGGAAAGGGGACATGGGAAGCACAGGCAGCAGGAGATGCCTGCAACGAAACCCTATCCACCTGCCCAAAGTGGTGGAAAGTGCCTTTCAGACGCTACGCTTTAAACCCAAGCTCAAGAAGAAAGACTAGCTGCTCAGAGAAACACTGTTTGTGCCTAGAGGACATAAACAATCACAGTGTGATCAAGGAGACAGAGTTGCTAGTAGTATTGAGGAATAGCCTGAATGAATCCCTGGTGGATATGAGCTCTGTGAATACTGTCAGCGCTTACTCACGGCTTCATAAATTATCCACAGCAGATCACAATCTCTCTTTCAGTAGCTCTCAATAGCAAATGCTTAAAGCCATTACCAGAGCATAACCACTCTGCTGGATGTGGAGCGATCATCCTGCGCACTGATTCCACACAAACGTTTATATTTTTATCTCGTTTGCAGATAGGACAGATATTTGACAGGAAAGCTGGGGTAGAGAGTGGGAAGTAGGATCAGTGTGAGGCAGGAATTGAACTCAGGTCATCATAAGCACAATTAAAGGCCTATTTAAATAATCAGACAGATGAACAGAGTTCCCGCTTTAAGCCAAATATCAAATTCCCTGACTTCACTGACTAAAAAGCTTAATTTACATTACATTCATTGAACGTATAAGAGGCTGCTGTTGTGCTTGTATACTAATATTCAGGGCTTGACATTAATACCCGTCAAATGCAGGTAGATTTCAGCTGTGGTGGGTTAGATAGACACCCCCACTAGCCACTTTGACTGGTTGAAAATAATTTTTAAGTAGACAGAACTGCCTCCAGATTTTATGTAAGCCGCAGCTGTTGCCGCTTTTGCTTTTACCTTTCTTTGAACAGATTATAACTGGGCCTAACGGTAACTGTGTGCACATGATTAGTCATCCTTTCATTATCAAACACAGAATGGTTTTCACCTGCTTTCTTCTGCTTAGTTTTATTTGTATTTATGGTTTGAATATCATCCTTTACAATAACATTGCTTTAATAGGAGATTAACTCTCCGTTTATCTATAGTTACCTGATGATATATGACCTTTAGCCTGGACAAACTACTGTGTTAGTTTTAGATAAATGACAATCATTTTTTTAAATGTCAATTATTGTTTTTTTTTGTTTTTTTTTATAAAATTTTTGTTGGATAAAAAGTGTATGCATCTATATTTAGCTTGTTTTGGAACATTATTAAAAATCTGTTGCAAGAAAATAATTTGTTTAGAGTCCTAAAAAGTCATGTGAAAAAAAAAAAAGTTAAATTAACGACGAGGCATGTTGACATAACAGGAATTTGTCATTTTTAGCATGCCAAAGTCAAATTGATGCAATAAAATATATTTTCCCGACAACAAAATTGTGGCTAGTGTAAAAGGCAAGTGACTAGTAATGTTGGAAAACTACAAGCCACAGTGGCTGGTGATCAGAAAAGTTAATGTCAAGCCCTGCTAATAACATAATTGAGCCAGTAATATGAGAGCAATTCATATTTTATCTTTTTTTTTTTACCTAAAACTCTTGAAATTTCTATTATTCTGGCATGTTTGCTTCGTTTACAGGTACAGTCCTGGTTTAAAGCAAAAAAACAACAACAACAATCCCTAATACTCAATGATTCCCAAAAAATTCCCTCTTTTTTAATGTCTGTAATTTACCTTTCAAAATTCTATGACTCATGGGAAGTCTGGATGAATGATGCTAAACATAAGGTAAGATGTGTTTTGTTGATTTGTGATAGGTAAGGGAGACAAATTCCTGTTTACACCTGGAGTTTTGATGTTTTTTTTTCACTTCAACAATTTTTTTGTGTATTTTTTTTCTGAACGTTTAGAGTAATATTGCAAAATAAGCTTGCACAGTTTACATTAAAGCATGAAAGGGGACGACACATTTGTTTGTGTCGTTAGCTGCAAAACTACATTAAAAGCTTTGAGTTTGTTGCAGTCAGAATTGTAAGAGAACATCATACTTTATGCTATTTTTTGCCTTTCAAATAGGCATGCAGCGTTTTCGAAGTTTTCTGCAATTAGGAAAAGTCAAGGTTTTAAAATCGGCAACATTTTCTGTTTTTTTTTTTTTTTTTTAGTTTTTAGGACAACAGTATCTCCAGCAGAAAAAAATATCCAAAAATGGTATTTTAAATTGTAAAGAAATCTGTGAAAATCTTTTAGAAATTTATGAAGACAGCAGAACTCAAAGGTTAATTTGAGTTATTTAGCCTGACATGTTTACTGTTTAATATTTTAAATGTTTTTAGAGCAGTAATCACAATACCATTAAACTGTGATATTTTTATCCAAGGTTATCATACTATCAGAATCTTATACCGACCCATGCCTACTTTCAAGTAAACATATTCAGACTGTTTAAATCCCATTAGGCTAGTGCACTTCAATATTTCCTGTATTATTTAAGGCCCATAAGCAAAAAGGAGTTTATTAGCTGTTTGAACATTCAACCTCATGAGCGTTTTACTTTGAAAGCAATCCATTGAAATGTTCCATTGAAATGTTTAAAATTGTTCAAAAATCCATTGAAAATTTTCAGCTGCCTCTAGAAGAGTGGGTAAGCTTAAAATGATACAGACCACTTTGCTACTGGATTGACGAAAATGCCTCTTAAAGGGATAGTTCACCCAAAAATGACGATTACCTTACATTAACAAACTCATGTGACTTTTAAACCTTTATGAGTTTCTTTCTTTTGTTTAACACAAATATATTTGGAAGAATGCTAGTTTCTGAGACCCATCAACTTTAACAGTAGGAAAAAAATTATTATGGAAGTAAATTAGTGTCGACTACCAGCAATTCTTTATTTTATTTTTTTGCATTCAACAGAAGAAGGAAACTCAAATAGATTTAAAAGTCACATGAAGGAGAGTCAATGTAAGGTGATTTTCATTTTTGGAATTTTTTTTTTTTTTTATCCTTTTAACACCAGGTGTAAACAGGGTCTACGAATTTAGCTTAGAATTTAGCTAGTAGTTTTGATTGGTGAGATGATTTAAAATGCAAAACACAACTATTTCTATGATGTACTACAGTAAAACTCTGGGGATGGGGATGAAATAACAGTATTTCTTTCCATGACAACCATCAAACCTATACTAGTGCCTTAATTGGTAGGTTTGTGCAACCATTTTTTATGACCGTTTATGATGATTGTGAAAATTTCTGCAACTTTATCAATAATTGTGAAAACTATTGTTTAAGAGTGATGCATTTGTACTTGTGTTTTTAGCATTAAAATCTATAAAGAGGAACTAGGTGCATGTGTTTCAATGCAGAGCTAAAAAGGGCTGCTCTCTTCTTCTGAAAAAAAGGAAGCAGGAATTGGGTATTCCCCCTTTAGAATATAATTAAAAAGTACAACAACACGAAAACAGGTGCAATGAGCCTTTAAAACAAATAAATAGATAATAACTAAATAATTTACCAACATATAAGAAATTACTTATTAAAAAACATTAATTAAATTATTATAAAAATTTACAGTATACGTTTTTATGTTGTTACAACTAGGCATAGGCTGGTATATGATTCTGATGGTATGATAACCTTGGATAAAAATATCAGTTTCATGGTATTGCGATTACTGAAATAAGTTATCTTTAAATGTCTTAGTAAAAAAATCAACACATTTTTCCCTATTAAACACAATATGCACAGGGTTTCTGCAGGTTTCACCAAGTTAAATTTAAAACTTAAGACATTTAGACCATTATGAATGAAATTTTAGAATCATAAAGGGCTAAAAGCCAAGGAATTTTTTTAAAGGCCCAGATGGAGAAGACTTTTATTTGCCGTATCAAAAAAAAAAAAATGTAATACATTTCATAATACGATAATAAATGAATAATAATACATTTAAATCTTTTACACATTTCTTAGCAAAATATTTTAAATATTGCGTAAAACAAATGTAGCTCTACTTTTTCCAACATAAACTTTATTTAAAATAACAAAAATAATAAATGTTTTAAAAGCTTTAAAAACTACAATGATATAAATCTATGCACAACAATCTGCCCAGTAAATACATGGAGCACTTTAAAACAAATTGCATAAGTGTATGAAAAATAATTAAACCATTAAGATAGTTAAAAATGACCTTTTTTAATAAAAGGTTCAAAGTTTTATTGAGGTGGATTGTTGGTGATTGCATGGGCTGTATGGGCCAGATTGGGTAGCAATACATAAACAAAGGAAAATTAAGACTTGTTTAAAAAACATTTAAGACCTACAACACAATATTTCAGTAAATTTAAGACCCTTTTTAAGGCCTAAAATTTTGAGATTTAAGATGTTTTAAGACCCCACAGAAACCCTGTATACAGTATTTAATTTGACAATTTTTTAATTTACAATTCAAATTTATAATGTTTTGGAACAGTAAACATGTCAGGCCAAATAATTCAAATAAATCAATGACTTCTGCTAGGTTCATTAGTTTACAAGACGCAGATTTCTTTACTACACAGAAAAAACATATACATGTAAACATACCTTAGAAACAGTATAACAGAAAATCTTTGTGGTTATAAACCTTAAAACCGGTTATCGTCCCATGCCTAGTTATAACAATTTTTTATTGTTACATTATTTTCATGTTAATTATTTAATTATTTTCATTTTAAACTTATAATAGTTTCTAACTTAGCATAGTTGAATTATTTCTTGAAGATCATACGACACTGCAGTCTTTAGTTTTCATAACAGGAATAATGTACATTTGATCTATTTTAGCTTTGAAACAGAAACTAGTTGATTTAAATGACAGATTTTACAATATATAGTTTAATTATTAAGAAACTGCAGCCTTAGACAGACTTCTTTAAAAATATATATTGGACAGAATTGCACAGCACACGATGAACAGCAAAAAAATAGAAAGAAACAGTAGAAAACCTTTCTATTATTTTATTAGCAAAAATGTTTTGACACACACAAACTCACACTCACTCACTCAGTTTTTCTCTTGTTTGACTTTTGGACTGAAGAACGATGCCAAGCTCTTCATGCCAGTTTTGTCTGCTTTAGCAAGACTCTTCTGAGCTGCAGTCATCTTCTTTGGTGGCTGAAATAACACACAAACAGTAGTTTAAATATTGAAATGATTAAAACTCTAGTACGGTAGTTAAAATTAAGCAAGACATGCATTTACAACAAACAAAATGTGAAGCACAAATGAACGCTGAATGATTTAGGCGCAGATGCAAAGGAAAAGAAACAGTCTAATTTTTTTACCAAGTGTCTTTCTACAGTGACGTTCATTCCATTTGCACTGTGTTTGTGATTGTAACTCACTTTTCGTGCAAAATCGGCACTGTTGAACTTGGTGTAGTCTTCTCCAGCCTCTACTGGTTTATCTGACAGTTTTCGTTTCTAACGAATGCAAGACAACAGTCAGAAAAAACACAAAATCCACCAAAAAGACTATTTATGATGCGGCTTGAAAAAAAGACTAAAACCAAGTTGAGTTTAAGGACAAATAAAAATCGAGCAGATATGAATAACAAGGATTAAAATCAATTAAAGCAAAGCCAGACATAGTAACACTGAAGCATGGCACTAACAAGCATAGAGTAAAACAAAACTAGCAATTAAAGCAGTAAGATTCACCTTAGAAGGCGGCTCTGCTTCTTTAGGGCTGGAAATCTCTGGTAACCTTGTAACATAATAAATAAAAATATATATAAAATTGCATCTACATAAATTAGAAACAAAGATAAAAATCTGAATGTTGTGTATGTAGGGTGCGTTCATACTTTGCAGGTTACTAAACTGTAAGTGTGAACACACCCTAAAACATGTATGTGTACATACTCCAGATGCTTAAGGAGATCTTTGCTCAAGTCTTCACTGATGTACTCTGATATGAGGCCATGTGCATAACGCAAGTAGTCCTCTAAAAGGGTAATAAAATATGATTACAATTGCAAATAATGCAAAAAAGCACAATCCACCCATTTATTTATCAATCTTACCTTCAGAAGCATCTTCATGTTTGACTCTGACAAATGTGCTGGACTTTACTCCTCCCCCTACAGAGATGTTACCTTTTTTGAGTGCATTCACTGTCCGCTGAACCTAAGAAAATAAATAAATAGTCAAAATCCCATTCAAAAATTCCCAAATGCTTATTAATAAAATGGTTTCCAAAATCATGTAATTAAAACTTTATTTTTAAACCTTTTTCTTTAGCCATTCCAAGGTCTTCTCCAGGTTATATTTGTGATACTTTTGATCATTGACCTCTGGAAAACAAGAATTATGTTTTTATATATTAAGATATCACAATGCATTTGTGTATATTTTTCTGCTTTGTTCACAGTTTTCCACCATGTGACTGGTGTGGACACCATGGGGGGCAAAATAATCATTGAATATTATTTTATTTTTTGCTTGTTATTTTTTTTTTTGGGGGGGGGAGTTGTCATAACTGTGTCTTCACTTATTTGCTTAAAAATCTTCTCGTCATTGCAAAAACTGCCCTGTTAATCAACATGTCAGTTTTCATCCTTCACATTTAATTCAATTTCCTACTTTACCGAGAAGAAAAAGCATACTAATCTGCCAGTCGCAAGCCTTTCATGCTGAGAAATCTTTATCGTGATTGGTTAAGCGATGTATGTTCTCAGGATAACCTGTTAAACGAAAAAATTTATGAGTTAAGATTTTGATTATTAATAACTAAACATGTTTTTCTACCATGTTTTTAGGTTTGTTTCTATCCGGGTACCTTAACAATACGTATTTGTGGTATAATTTAGAACAATTTAAATGGATAATTTGCAAACTGGGGCAACTGACTTACTAGCTTAGTACAAATCATGTAAATCTGTACATGCATTGCATACAGGTTCAAAAGCACACCTTTCTCATCAGCCACATGATGAAGGGAGTCTAGACCCTGTTTGCATTGCAGAAGTCTTGAGCAGCCGGGATAATCCTCATCCATCACCATCTGCTTCACCGACTGGAACTTTCCCTGTGAAAAGAGTGCTGGCATTACTCCTGAAGCTCATGTAAATGTGAGGATTACTTCTTTTTTTTTTAAATATGTGTAGTGGAATAACTTATTTTAGGTATTAACTTACCTCTTTGCCAACACTGCTAATATATGGCAACAGCAGAAACAAAGGATCCATGGGAGTCACGTACAGCAGTCTACCATCTGTGGACACAAAGAGCTGTTAGTTCACTTAATTAACAAACACAATAACATTTTAGAATAGTTCACACTGAAATTAACATTTACATGTTTCTGTCTGCTGCTGAACACAAAAGCATACATGTAAAGAATGGTAAAGAAGGGCTGTGCAATTAATTGAAATCGAATCGTAATCTCGATTTGAAATGTTGCTATTAACTAATCGCAAGAGGCTGTGATATGAAATATATTTGTATTATTTCATTTTCCCTGCCCAGAGCAAATGCATGACTGCCGTCCGTGTTTGATAGTCCTACTAGCCATTTGTATGAGCAAAATTAAATGAGTCTTGCTAAAAAGTCAACTGAAAGTATTGCCAGTGACACTCTAGTAGCAAGCAACAGCAAAGTACAGTTTCAGAGTTGTTTCAGCCATGTTATTTTGCTGAGTGATCTGTATTTTATATATTTTTTTATAATAAGCTACACTATTTCCATAATTTGAGTTCAACTTGTTTACAGAAAGGTAAGGTCATTTAATTTGTGTTAGTGTTTGCTCTAGAGAAAAATTAGTGTTTCATTTCTGAGTTTTTAAAATAAATTTGAATAAATGTTTAGGTTAATATCTTTCAGTTCTTTTTTAAATTAACTCCCACTGCATGTCATCAGTAAGAAGCTACAAAACAGATTATTGAGATTCTACAAAATTAAAATCCAAATCAAATCAAATCGCAAATTTTGTCAAAAAAAAAAAAAGTACAAATAATTAAAATAATAATAATTAAAATAATAATAATAGGGGCGAGGCAGGTCGCTGGGTCGTTGGTTTGAACCTCGGCTCAGTTGGTGTTTCTGTGTGGAGTTTGCATGTTCTCCCTGCCTTTGCATGGGTTTACTCCAGGTGCTCCAGTTTCCCCCACAGTCCAAAGACATGCGGTACAGGTGAATTGGGTAGGCTAAATTGTCCTAGTGTGTGTGAATGTTTGTATGGATGTTTCCCAGAGATGGGTTGCGGCTAGAAGTGCATCCGCTGCGCAAACACTTGCTGGATAAGTTGGCGATTCATTCCGCTGTGGCGACCCCGGATTAATAAAGGGACTAAGCCGTCAAGAAAATGAATGAATGAATAATAATAATAATAATAATAATAATATATTTATAATAATATATAAATATTATTTGGGGATATTTTCCCCAAATCGTACAGCCCTAGGGCCTGGCCTAAAATCTAAATCTCGATTAATTGAACATTTTAACTCGATTAAGATTAACAAAAGA